AGGACGCGGAGCGGGCATATGGAATGTAGAACACCTGAAGAAGTTTGACCAATAACGGCTGTTGGCCATATTCACTCCCAAAAAACGGTGGGGGGAGACATAACTCCCGGAACTTGGGAGCTCCAAATCCGGTCGTTGACCGTGGACGAGGAGTGGTCCAATCCTTGGTCAAATCACCAAGTGCTCGATGCAGTTCGTCCCTGTGGGACGATCTGAGTACTTGACTGGGTCGTTGGATGAAAACCTGGGGGCTATGGATCCGGTCGTTGACCGTCGACGAGGAGCGGTCCAGTCCTTAGTCGAATCACCAAGTGCCCGATACAGTTCGTCCCTGTGGGACAAGATGAGGACTTGCTGACTAGGTCGTTGGACGAAATTACGAAAACTTGGGGGCTCTGGATCCGGTCGTTGACCGTCGACGAGGAGTGATCCAGTCGTTGGTCGAATCACCACGTGCCCGATGCAGTTCGTCCTAGGCATGGCAATGGGTTGGGGCGGGTGGGTAGTGCAGGACCCAGACCCGCCCCGTGACTTTACTAGGAGGACCCGCCCCGCCCCGTGACCCGCACGGGTCAATACTTGTAGGCCCATGACCCGCCCCATGCGGGGCGGGTCCGCCCCGCCCCGCCGTAACCTAACTAGCTAGTATGAATTGTGTATTTCTATTTGCGTGAAGTCGTTATAATTTGAATTTACATAAAATTTATCTCTAAATAATTATAAAAAAGCAATACAATAAATCATAGCTGCTATGCACTGAAAAATGTTAAAATTTTAAGAAAAAATACCAAGACTTAAACACATAATCTATTATTAATTATTAATTATTAATGGAAAAAGGGGCAAATAAGCCCACATACTAACAAAAAAAAGGTAAAATAAGCCCTTATATAGAACTTTTTGAATAAGATTCTCAATAAATTTCATCAAAAAGTTCCACCGGAAACTGCCCCAAATGACGACGGCCGGGCAGAGCCTCCTATATAAGGGCTTATTTGACCTTTTTTTGATAGTATGTGGGCTCATTTGCCCCTTTTTCCAATATTAATTATTAATTAATGAATATATAATATGCTAAATATAAAAAAGAAAATGACAATTAATTTTGTGTTCATCTCATTCAAATATAAATATTAATATATTACAAGATCAATGAATTTATAATATTGTATAGACATGTATGTATATATGTATATTTGTAGTAAAAAAATGTATACTTATATATTGAGCGGGGCGGGGTGGGTCAGGGCAACACGGGTCAATACTAATACCCGGACCCGCACCATTCCATGGACGGGGCGGGGAGGACCCGCCCCATTTGCAAGGTGGGGCAGGGCAGACCCGCCCCAAATGCCTCGGGCCAGGGCGGGTCCTCGCGGGCCGGTTTTTTTGACATTCCTAGTTCGTCCCTGTGGGATGAGCTAAGGACTTGCTGACTAGGTCGTTGAACGAAAACCTGGGCGCTCCGGATTCGGTCATCGACCGTGGACAAGGAGTGGTCCAGTCCTTGGTAGAATCACCAAGTGCCCGATACAGTTCGGCCCCGTGGGCCGAGCTGAGGACTTACTGACTAGGTCGTTGGGCGAACACACGCGGGTTCTGGTGCAGCTCGGCCCAAAAGGTCGTGTTGAGGGCTCGCTGGACATATCATGGACGAATGACAAAGAAATGAATGACGAAAGACTGAGAGTGAAAGAATGTTCTTTATTCTTCGGCTCTATCGGTCAGGAAAATACAACGAATGATACAAATACAAAAAAAAAGAAGGAATATATGAGGCTTGATCGCCACCCGTTGTGGTGTCCTTCAATACTACATCTTGTTTCTCTTTGATTAGCTTCAGAGCTCCCTCATGAACTTCAAAAAAAAGGAATCAAAACCAGTGACCTCAGAATTGAAGGGAGTCGGGAAGTAACGTTCGAAGACCGACAAATTCTCCTGAACAAAGCAAACCATGCCTTTGGCGAATGTGTCATTAGCCAAGTCCGTGAGGAATCGCTGACCGACAAGAGAACCCTTGAGCAATTCAATGTCAATGAGATAGAGCTCCTTGCTCTGCTCCAAGTGTTCCCCGACGAATCGGGGTAGGAACTTCCGAGCGACTACTCGTAGAGCGTCCCTGAAAGCACAACGATCCACAAAGCGTGCCTGCACTAGAGTAGTCCTGGGACGGGTGACCCCCTAGGAAGTTTCTAAGGGCACACACGAGTGAGGACAAAGTTCGTGAAAAAGGCTAATGGCGGTTTGTGAGGACTGTACTAGAGGTCAGGAGAGAGTCTGGAGTAACTATCTCAAGTCTCGTGGGGTCAGGGTGTTACATGTGGTATCAGAGCAACTTCGCGATTGTGTTCTGATCCGTTGGATATCGGACGAACACTTAGCAGGGGAAGATTCTGGGATATGATTGAGATTGAATTAGTTTATGGACGCAATGAAGGCGTTGTGATTCTAAGTGGGGGTGATTGTAATACTTGAGATTTAATTTAAACGGATTAATAGTACTACTCATACTAACAATGTGCATCTCCTTTTAGGGAGCTCATTAGCTAAGAATTCCAAAGTTAAGGGTGCTTGCACGAGAGTAGTCTTGGGATGGGTGACCCCCTAGGAAGTTTTTCAAGGTGCACACGAGTGATGACAAAGTGCATGTAAAAGGCTAGTGGCGGTTTGTGAGGACAATACTAGAGGTCAGGAGAGAGTGGAGTAACTACCTCGAGTCCTGTGGGGTCGGGGTGTTACAATAAGGCAGTATTAATATTCCGGAATTCGAATCCCTGGTAGGATGTGTACAGGAAGTATTTATAGACATTAAGTTTTAGTGTTTTAGGAGGAAACTGATACATTTAATGCAATTAATTAGAATAGAGTCATGTAACGTCTCGAACGTTGTGTAATCGTTGTTCCTCTAGGTCCACATTTCTTCCGTTATTTTTTGCCGCTGCCAGATAGCTATGCATGAATGATAGCCTGCCACATAAGCCCTATGAAGAGTCCAACCTCGCTAGAATTCCGCAGAGGCTCGAGGTCTGCTGCCCAGCCTGGCCTGGTTGTGGGTTCCTTTCGCGGGTTGGATTCCCAGTCAAACCCTACGACTATTATTTATTATTAATCCCGATTAATGGGTTGATTCCGTCAATGGGCTTCACTTTAATTCAATCTTGGGCCATGTCCATGATCCACGGTAGCATCACAAAATAAATAAGATTAAAGAAAATTTTGTAATTGAATTGACTGAAGATTCTTTAGACGATAGTTTTAGCTATTTTTCATGCAATTTTTCTTAATTTATTAAGAAAATATATTTTAAATATAGTTTTTTCATAATATATCAAATTTAGTCCATCCAACTTCCTTATTCAGAATGTCATAAATTTCAATAAATCGGATGGATTCAATCCATTTAAATGAATTAACTTTTAAATAACAAAAATGATGTTTGTATCCATTGTTATACCCACTTTGGCACCCACCTATGTTTGTGAAAGCTTCTTTTAGGTCTGTGAACATCGATTCACATACAATATTTTGCACAAACAAAATATTGTCTGTGAACCGGATTAACAGACAAAAAAAGCTCAGCGGGTATAAAGTGGGTATAAGAGTAGGTAGATATTGTTGTTTAAATAAGAGGTATTTACGTAAATAGGAGTAAATCAGTCTTTAATTGCAAAGCTAGGACCAAAGTTTAAAAATTCCCAAATAAGAGTTTTTATTTGTAATCAGACGAAAACACCCCTCAAGCTTATAAGTCATACTCCCGCAGACCACAACACTGGACCACAGCCATTCGTCGGTCACCGCCGGTCGCCGCCATTCACTGTCGGTCGCTGACAACCTCAAAAACGAGCCGCCGTCACAGATCAGCCCACCGCCGTTGCAGATCTGGAGGGCGTCGCCGGATTGAGCCTCCGTCGACCGTCAACCGCCGTCCCTTGAGATCCAACCACTTTCACAACTAATGTGGCATTCGCTGCTACAAATCTGACCTCCTTAGTTACAGATCTGCCCGTTTCCAGTGTAAATACCAAGATTTTTTTCAGAATGCCATCTTAATGTCATTTCCAAATGAAAATACCAAAATTTTTAAGACTAAAAATGCCATTTATACGACATTTTCAGATTTAATTTGACATTTTGTAACAATGAAAGAAGAAACGGAGCAGAACATTCAGAGAAGAAGCAGATCTACTGAGAATGCCACTTTCGCAACTAATCTGGCATCCACTGCTACAAATTTGACCTCCTCAGTTACAGATCTGCCCGTTTCCAGCGTAAATGTCAAGATTTTTATCAGAATGCCAGCTTAATGGCATTTCCAATTGAAAATAAAAAATTTTTAAGACTAAAAATGCCATTTATACGGCGTTTTCAGATTTAATTTGGCATTTTGTAACAATGAAGAAAGAAACGAAGCAAAATATTCAAAGAAGAAGCAGATCTGAGAAGAAAAGTTTATCTCCGGTGGCAGCGGCGGTGTCCTTCGCGATGGCGGTAGAGAAGAAGACCTTCGGCGGCGATGGCGGCAGAGAAGAAGACCTTCAGCGGCGGACTTCGTATCTGCGTCGACGATGACTATGGCTGGGCTTCTAGGTTTGGTTGTTGTTGTGTGAAGGGGTAGGAAGAAGATCTACCCGGATGGAGATGGTGAGGTGTAGGGAAGGAAGAAGCAGATCTACTGAGAAGAAAAGTTTATCTCCGGTGGCAGCGACGGTGTCCTTCGCGACGGCGGTAGAGAAGAAGACCTTCGGCGGCGATGGCGGCAGAGAAGAAGACCTTCAGCGGCGGACTTCGTATCTGCGTCGACGATGACTATGGCTGGGCTTCTAGGTGGTTGTTGCTGTGCGTATGGGGGGAAGAAACGAAGAGAGATGTGAGGTTTTGACGTTTGGAATATGAGTGGATCGAGTGGAGTAGTCTATCATCCCATTTAGGATAAAAAAATAAAAGCAGAGTTTTATCACAACTTATTCCGTCTTATTTATTCCGTCTTATTTAGTCCATATGAATTAATTATTTATCCCACTCCTCTGGAGTTCTTTTTCTAGAAACTCTTCCACCTTTTTGCCTAATGGTAGCAATCACACTGATGCATAGTGCCTTCCTGGTGAAGCACCTTAGCCCGGAATCTCCTCTTTGCAATCCCATGTTGAATCTCAGCCATACACAGTTAGTTACTTCCATTCGTTCTCCTTCTATTGATAGACTCAAACTCAAATTCGTTTCGTTTGGGAACTTCAAGGCTCCAATCAAGGCTGCCCTCTTTTCTTTTTCATCAGAAGGGAACCATCACAAAAACACAGACCGAATGATCCCCCCCTACAACGTTTTGATTACCGGCGGTTCTAAAGGTTTGTTTCCTTTCCCCCTTTTGGTCAGTTGTACTTTCTTATTTAGTGTGCACTGTGAACGGTATAGGACCTCTTAAATTACAAAAACAGGAGTATTACTTTTGAGTATGCCATATTGCCATATATAAGACTAAAAAATATTTTAAAAAAGAAGCATACAGAAACTTCCACTGTGGAGCGGTAACACCATCATTATGGCATTATAAAGTCAAACTGGCATATGAGTACATACTCCCAATGTTGAGCTATAATGTCATAATTTAGGTGCTATCGTCATAATCAATATTTTACATCATTTCCAATGGAGTCAAAGACTCACTATTTTTGGCTTAGGGATACGATGGAATAAAGCAAAATGTCTCACTATACTATATGCGCTTTTGTATTATGAACCAACAGTCAGTCCATGCAACTTTCGACGTGATTTTCATCGTGCGGCACTTGGGTAATGTTGTTGTTGTCATAATCAATATAAAAATGTTATCATCGAAAGTTAATGCCATATTCCAATAGCAACAACAACAAAATCCAAATCTTAGTTCAAAGAGAGTTTAGAGTTGGTTAATAATTAAGATGAATCGGCATATGAAATCAGATTAAAAGTGATAAATAGAGAAAAGGGAGACAAACAAAAACAGATCAATTCTCCACATGTATAATTTCCTTCCACACCGCTCTCTCTAAAGTCACACTTTTATCACTCTAATCCACGACTGATTGGGTTGTCCTCTCTTTCTGTCTCTTCCCTGCCTCTCAATTCGGATAACAAGTGCATCATTTGGTCTTGTACACACATGAACAAACCACTACAATACCTCCCACATTTTATTTTCAATAGGTGCTACTCTCATCTTTTCCCGTTTGTCTCATTCCTCAGGAGATTTTTTCTATTATGTCCACAAATCCATCGTACTCATCTCCGATTCTTGGTTTTCTTTCAAAGACTGTTTTTGTTAATTTTTCTTTTTGATTCTTTGTTTGGTAGTAGGAGCAATTATGCCGATAGAAGAGATTACATATATGGGGTTAGCGAAATGTTCCGTCCCTTGGGGGCTATTTAGTTCTATGTCTCATCCCATTATAGTCTTAAACTGTCTGATTTCTTTTGTTCTTGTATTTTTATCACTAATAAATAAGTTTATTTCCTCCACAAGTTATTATATTTAATAGTTCAACAATTTCAGCCTACTACAATGTCAGCAATTTAGGCAACTTCAGATTTACCATTTAGGCTCATAAGTACTTGTTAAGTTTATTATTGATTTAATGTGAATGGCTGTTTCCAAACAAGTTTGAATCAAAGCACATGTTTGCACCACTATTGTCGACTCTTTCATTTGGGCAAAATATTCTCTCTTTAGCGTGGAGTGTAGTTATATCATGTATGAAAGTTGTATCAGTACAAACACTGATATGTACCTAGATAACTAGGTAAGACTTACATCTAAAATAGTGTAACAGTGTCTATGAATCTCTATTGTTTAGAATCTCTACTTTCTTTCTCTTTCTAAAATAGTGCACTTCTTTTCCTATTCCTTTCATATATATGCAGTTATTTTTAGTAGTTTCTTTGTCATATCAGGAATTGGATACGCACTTGCTAAAGAGTTTCTGAAGGCGGGTGATAATGTCTTTATTTGCTCTAGATCAGGCAAGAGTTCTATGAAATAATATAATAATCCTTCATTTTTTCCATACTTATATTTAATTTCTCTCATACACAAATGATTTCTAGGTAGCTAAGCAGCTTCACATTTAATGTAAATCTCTCACATACTTTTGTTATAAAAATAGATGAATGAAAGAAGAGGGAATGTATAAGACTTATCTTTGTTTCAACGGAATGTAACACTGTGCTACGTGAGCTAATTAGCTTATGTAATATGGGTTTAAAAGCTAAAAGCTCCTCTAAAAGCACTCTGCAGACTACTCATGCCCCAATTCAGGGAATTTCGAGAAGTTACATTTTTTTCTTAATATATGTTTCATCATTTATATCCAAAAGTTGTTCCTTTTTTATTTTTTATTTTTATACATATACATTACCCTTTTTAGGAAAAGAAGCATTTCTGTTTCATCATTTGCAATGGAGTCAAAGACTCACTATTTTTGGTTTGGGAATATGATGAAATAAAGCAAAATGGCTGACTAAACTGTCTGTACTTCTTTGTTATGAAGCAACAGTCAGTCCATGCAATTTTCGATGCAAACTTCACTATGGGTCATCCGAAAACAGACTTTTTGTGCTTTAATACAGGGGTAAGACTGCGTACATCTGATCCCCTTACCCTACTGTAGGTAGGAGCCTTTGCGGCACTGGGGTAATGATGATGATGAGGAAAAGAAGCATTTTAGTGATGACAAAAGAAGTAAACACACTCATGATAGAAGAAAACAAATAAAAAGAAGGCTCTTGGAAGTCAAATTCCAGAGAAAGATAAAACCAAGTTATACTTCATTTGTAATTACAACAGTTAAAACACCAAATACTCTCACACTACTCAATGGTTTTATGTATTTTTCTAGATCAATACAACCTCTGTCCCACCAACATTGGGACATGAAAAGGTGGTGCGATTATTAGGAAAAATGAGTTTATGTGGTTGATATTGAATTGTTAAAGTAAGAATAAAATAAGAATGATTTAGAACCACACAAATCGTAGATTATTACAGATGGTTCTAATCACTCACCTGATTGTGCATTTATGAGGAGATATCTTAGAGATCTCAGAATCTCTAAATATCCCCAATTATCTTTTCTTTATTAGGGAACTTTAATTAGGAGGATTCCTTCCTTATTTCATTTTTTCTCTAGCTATATATATCCTGTATTCTTCTCCTTGTAACATACAGAAAATAATAAACAGAATACAATTTACTTTCTCGAGTTATTTCTACATGGTATCAGAGCGTGATTATTCTCTAAAATGATCAAGTTCGGATCCTATGGAATGACCACCGAGAGAGATGGATCTATCTCAGTCACCTCTGAACATTCAGAGGGTGTGCCAACCGGAGATGGCAACAACCAGAATATCAATGGAAGCACAGTCACCACTCCTAATCAATCAGATTCGATTATTACTTGCCATAAACTCAATGGTAGTAATTATCTATAATGGTCTCAGTTAGTTATGATGTATGTGTGTGGAAAAGACAAGGAGGACTATTTGACAGGTGATGCACCTGCTCCGGATCAAGGAGATCCAGGCTACAAGAAGTGGAAAAAGGAGAACTATACTGTGATGTCATGGCTCATCAATTCCATGACAACCAGTATAGGGGAAAACTTCCTACTATACAAAACAGCTCAAGAGATTTGGGAGGCTGTGAAAGAAACATACTCAACTTCAGATAACACTTCTGAATTATTTGAGGTTGAATCAATGCTACATAATCTTCAGCAGGGAGAATCGAGTGTAACTCAATACTTCAACAACCTTGTGAGACTCTGGCACCATCTTGATGTGTTTGAGACATACAGTTGGTCATGTTCTAAGGATAAGAAGTTATATCAGGAGATCTGTGAAAGGAAGAGAGTCTTCAAATTCCTGTCAGGTTTGGACAAGAGTCTAGATGAGGTTAGGGGCAGAATAATGGGAAAGAAACTCACCCTTAGTGAAGCCTTCTCAGAAGTCAGAAGAGAAGAAAACAGAAGTAAGGTAATGATGGGTCTAAAATCTCAAGGTCAGCCACAAAACATTGAAGGATCAGCTCTATATACCTCTTCCAGACAGAATGAAAACAAGAAAAAGGGGAGGCCATGGTGTGATCACGGTAAGAAACCAGGCCATACCAAAGAAACATGCTGGAATTTGCATGGTAAACCTAAAGATTTCAAGCCCAACAAAGGGAGAGGAGCCTATGTAGCTACCGAAGATAAAGAAGACATGGGCACTTCAAACTCTGCTACATTTACCAATGAGCAGATTGAGGTTCTTCAACACCTAATAAATCAGAGCAAAGGGCCTACACCATCAACTAGCCTTACTGCTTAGACAGGTAATGCCTTAACAACCCTAGTTGCACACAGTCAGCCCTATTGGATTGTTGATTCAGGGGCATCAGATCATATGATTGGAGACAGTAAGTTTTTTGCTGAATTGATCCCTATGAAGAATAAGGTAACTGTGAAGATTGCTGATGGAACTACTTCAGCGATAAAAGGGACTCGAAGAGTCAAAATTTCTGACAAGATAGTGCTTAACAATGTGTTATATGTTCCAGATTTAAAGTTCAACCTCTTATGAGTCAGTAAACTGAACAATGATACACATTGCTTAACTAAATTCTCTTCTCAATCGTGTGAATTTCAGGATTTGGATTCGGGGAGGATGATTGGCAGTGCTAAGCAAAGTGGTGGACTCTATCTTCTGGAACATTCACCACATTCACCAAACTCCACCAACAAGACAACTTCCAGTGAGAGTCAATTCAACCATAAGTTCTTAGGGAGTCTTAGTAGGAGTCAGTTTGATACTCAAATTCAGTTATGACATTATCGTCTTGGTCATCCTAATGTCTTGTACTTAGAAAAAAATATTTCCTTCATTATTCATAAATAAAAGTTCTGCCTTTGATTGTGAATTTTGTCAACTTGCTAAACATACTAGAAGTCAGTATCCCAGTCTACCTTACAAACCATCTAAACCTTTTTCTCTCATCCACAGTGATGTTTGGGGCCCATACAAGGTCAAAAACCTCACTGGTTCAAGGTGGTTTGTTCTGTTTATTGATGATCATACACGACTAACCTGGGTTTTCCTCATGAAAGAGAAGTCAGAAGTCAATATTATTTTTCAAAGATTCTATTCTATGATCAAAACTCACTTTCAAACCAAGATTCAAGTTTTTAAAACTGATAATGCCAAAGAATATTTCTCATCCAACTTAGGAGAGTTTCTGTCGAAAAAGGGGATTATACACATTAGCTCCTGTGTTGACACCCCACAACAGAATGGGGTGGCAGAAAGGAAGAATAAACACTTACTGGAAGTTGCTAGAGCCCTTATGTTCACCACTCACACTCCTAAACACTACTGGGGAGAGGTTGTCTTAACTGCAATTTACCTGATAAATAGGATGCCCTCCAAAATTCACCAAGTTAAAACCCCATACCAAATCCTATCTTATCTACATCCTCACATCCCTCTTACCAATCTTCCACCCAAAGTCTTTGGTTGCAAAGCATTTGTTCACAACCATTCCCCACTTAGGTCAAAACTGGATCCCAAATCCTTGCATTGTATATTCATAGGATATGCTGCCAACCAGAAAGGATATAAATGTTATTCTCCTACCACCAAAAAGGTCTACATCACAATGGATGTAACCTTCTTTGAAAATCAGCCTTTCTATTCCAAAACTGAATTTCGGGGGGAGAATCACAATGAAATCCAGTCTTTGAACCCTAATTCACCTATTTCAGACACTATTTCAGACCTCCAAGAATGTGAATCTAACCACACTAAACCCATACTCCCAGACAGATCTGAATCAAGCTCTCCAGACAATACAATCTCTCCATCAACCTCACCATTTCAGCCACCAACTTCATCACCCCAAAATCCTACACTAGATCAAAATTCCCCATTCTACAAGAATACCAATAAGCGGAAACCTAGAACCAGAGTTCCAGAAGAAGAGCACATCACTCCAATTAACACCACCCAATCATCTGACTCAAATTTGAATCTTGATGACAAAGAGGTTGAGGCTATAGAAGGAGATGAGGAGGAACAAGACTTGCCTATTGCCATCAGAAAGGGAGTGAGGGAGTGTACCAAGCGTCCTATCTATAATTTTGTTTGTTATAAGAAACTTTCAGCAAACTATCAAGCTTTTATTTCAAAGATTGATCGTATTTAGGTTCCTAGCAACATCAAGGAAGCCCTTGAACATCCAGGCTGGAGGAAGGCTGTCCATGATGAATTAGCAGCATTGAAAAAGAATGGAACTTGGGTACTTACTGATTGGCCAACAGGGAAGAGAACTGTTGGCTGCAAGTGGGTATTTACAGTCAAATATCAGGCTGATGGACAGATTGAAAGGCTGAAGGCAAGGCTGGTTGCTAAGGGTTCACCCAAGCTTATGGCATTGATTATTCAGAGACCTTTGCACCAGTGGCAAAGTTGAACACCATTAGAGTATTGTTATCACTCGCAGTGAACCTAGACTGGCCATTACATCAACTAGATGTTAAGAATGCCTTACTTAACGGAGACCTAGAAGAGGAAGTATTCATGGATGTACCTCCAGGGTTGGAAGACTTTGTGAAATCTGGCCAGGTTTGTAGACTGAAAAAGTCCTTGTATGGACTAAAGCAGTCTCCTAGAGCATGGTTTGATAGGTTCACAAGATCAGTTATTAAACAAGGATTCATGCAATGTCAGGCAGACCATACACTATTTGTAAAGAGAGCAAACTTCGGTAAAATGGCTATTCTTATAGTATATGTTGATGATATTATTATGACCGGGGATTATTATACGGCTGAATTGGACAGATTGAAGGCTCATCTAGCAAGAGAGTTTGAGATCAAGGAGCTTGGTGAGTTAAAGTACTTCCTGGGAATGGAAGTGGCAAGGTCTAAGAAAGGCATTTTCATTTCACAAAGGAAATATGTCCTAGACTTGCTGAGTGAAACTGGAATGCTTGGGTGCAAGCCTATGGACACTCCCATGGATATATCAAAGAAGTTAGGCAGTGAGACTGAAAGTCCACCCGTTGATAAGGGTAGATACCAAAGGCTGGTAGGGAAGCTAATCTACATATCTCACACATGGCCAGACATTGCTTTCTCAGTAAGTGTGGTAAGTTAATTCATGAATGACCCAACTGAGGAACACCTAACTGCAGTCTACAGAATTCGGAGGTACCTGAAAATGACTCCTGGAAAAGGATTGTGGTTTCAGAAACAAGGGACAAGGAAGATTGAAGTGTTTACTGATGCTGACTGGGCTGGAAGCCTCTTAGACAGAAGGTCAACTACTGGTTACTGTACTTATGTATGGGGTAACTTAGTCACCTGGAGGAGCAAGAAACAATCAGTGGTTTCGAGAAGTAGTGCAGAGTCTGAGCTCAGGGCTTTAGCACAAGGAATCTGTGAAGGATTATGGTTAAGAAGATTGATGACTGAGCTCAAACTTCCATTTGAAAGCTCCATCCATATCTCATGTGACAACCAGTCTACTATCGGTATTGCTAAGAATCCTGTCCATCATGACAGAACCAAACACATTGAGATAGATAGAAGATTCTTATAAGAAAAGATTGTAGCGAAGGATATCCAGCTTAGCTATGTTCCAACCAGGCAGCAAATAGCTGATATACTCACCAAGGCACTTCCCAGAATTCAGTTTGAAGACTTATCTAGCAAGCTGTGCATGGATGATATCCATCACCCATCTTGAGGGGGAGTGTAGATTATTACAGATGGTTCTAATCACTCACCCGATTGTGCATTTATGAGGAGATATCTTAGAGATCTCAGAATCTTTAAGTATCCCCAATTATCTTTTCTGTATTAGGGAACTTTAATTACGAGGATTCCTTCCTTGTTTCATTTTTTCTCTAGCTATATATATCCTGTATTCTTCTCCTTGTAACATACAGAAAATAATAAACAGAATACTGTTTACTTTCTCAAGTCATTTCTACACAAATTTTACCAAATTTGGCACGAGACAATCTTAACGAGACGGAGGGAGTAATTCACATAACTCCTTTTTCAAATCAAATACGGAGTTTAACATCTTTTTAAAGTCTTCCATTTTCGTCCCCTCCCCTGTTCCCATTTTCTTCCCTTTTTTGAATTAGATAATGGCTTAAATCCTCATTAAGTTCTAGAGAGAAGATACAAGAAAAAATGATTTCCAAGATATTGTTGACTTGCTTTAGTGAGATGATGAGAACATGGTGCCAGATAGAAAACATGGAGAATGAAAGTATTAGTGAATGACCTCTTTGAAGTTATCAATTGGTTCATATAGAAAACAGTCATTGATTTAGAATTAAGGTAATGTTGTTGTTGTGTACTGTTACTTGCTTTATAGTCTAATGACACGTGCCACAAATCATTTTTTTTAAAGCAGCTGAAAGAGTGGACTCCGCTCTTGAAGAGTTAAGGGAAGAAACAGGGAAGCAAAATGTGTGGGTATCTTCATCATGACCATTCGTTATTTGTTGATATTTAACTGATTATTTTTTGAGCATGTTACCATGGTAAACTTTAAGTAACCCCAACATTTTACCTTTGGCTTGTTACATGTTTGGTACATTACACCCGGTTACTAAACTTTGACAATTTACTACTACCTCCGTCCTATACAAAGGTTCCCGTCCATTATTCTCTGGTCAACATAAAGTTTTCTTAATCTTTTACTTTATATACCCAACTTTTATCAAATTTGATTGTTTGTGCGACTTTATAAAACTTCTAATGTAGTTTCTGAATATGTAAATTTTATTTTCTAAAAATAACTTTATTACGGATAGGGATCCGTTAACTTGATGGTCAGTCAAACACCGTAAACCGCGTGGGAACCTTTGTACGGGAGTATTTATGTAGTCAACACAATTTATTTCTGTTTTCTAATTTTGAGTATATTTTTTATCATAACCAAAATTTATATTTCATGGGTCATCCGGAAATAGTCTCTTTGTGTTTTAGTTCAGGAGTAAGGCTATGTACATCCGATCCCCCTTACCCCACTGTAAGTGGGAGCCTTTGCGGCACTAGGGTAATGTTGTTGTTGTTACCAAATTTGATATTTGCGCTTCAATAAAACATTAGCGTAGTTTAAATTTTAAATACCAATATTGATCTAAATATTGTCATGGAGTCTTTATCATGAATATTGCCAGAAAAACATAAAACTAGGAAGAACTAAGAAATGGGATTGTTGGAAAATTGAGATGCCTTGCTCAATTGTATATTCACACTTATTTGTGGTTGATTTGGCCAATTTCTTTATCTCTTCAAGACCCAGTTTGGTCTGAAGGGATGTGTTATATGTCTCACATTGAATATTTACTGAAATTTGGTCTATTTATAAGTGTGATATAACTCATAATCCTGACCTTTTATAAGTGTAATATAACTCATAATCCTGACCTCTTGAGAATCCTTTCGGGGGATTAGGCACAACTTAATAAATCTGAAGAGGACTCTTGTTACTCATTTAATGTATATTTTATATTGGCAGGGTACTAAGTGCGACGTTCGGGATAGCAACAATGTAAGACGCTTAGTTGCATTTGCAAAGCAAGACCTCAAGTACATAGATATATGGGTACTTGATCTGGACTTTTATTTGTTATACAGACATTTCTTTGCTTAAGCTCCAAGTTTACTGTTGGCACTTACTGGGTGATATATCCTTGCTGTCTCTAGCAGTGGTCAATTTTGTGATTATCTATGCAGCATAAGATGAGTATTATTTACCCATAATAAATACTTCTAATATTCAGAAAATAAATGATGTGCCTTGCAGTTCATCCATTGAAGTCAATATATCAATGATTTGAAATTTTAAAACTAATCCAATTGCATTCGTGTTCATATACATGTCATTGAAAAGTATGCATCTTTGAAGTTATAGTTCTGCACAATTTACTATTAGTGATTTAAAATCCGCTAGGTGCTAGGTAAGCGATAATAAAAAATTTCTTCTGATCTTAGATTTGTTTATCTTGCGGCACTTTCATAAAATGTATGACATCCGTTAATGCACTTAATTCAGTTAATTGAATGCCCGAAATATTGATTTTCAGCACAAAATAAAGCATTACTTGTACGCATTGCTCAACTCATGGGAAGTGGAAATATACACTGGCCTGGGATAATAGCTTGATAAATTTCAAAATTATGGTCAACCTTTAGCTTAGATTTATGTGCGAGAGAAATTTACTTCAAATCACTTGCACAACTCAATACTTTTTATGACATAATACTCAGTAGTTTTTCATTAAGTATACCAAATTTGATTCCATATGAATGAAAATTAAATAAAAACAAAAACCTTAATAATAATGTAATCGCTCAATCTTCTCTCCTAATTGATGAATTCATTATGGACTACCAGTATCTTCTTGTTATATGATTTACGAATTTTTAATTCTTATAAACTTTATATTATTCTACAGATTGGTGCCACTGCATTATTATGATGTAAATTGAGCTTTAAATTAAAAAAAGCGAATCATTATTCCTCATTTTCTCTACATTTTCTCGTGTTACCATTTCACATTTCAGCTTTTATCTTTTGTGAGATTGTAGATGTGGTTTTTTATGTAGCTTCTTCCTTTGATGTCTTGGGATAATGCAGATTAATAATGCTGGATCAAATGCTTATAGCTACAAACCGCTTGTAGAAGCTTCTGATGAAGACCTAATGTAAAACTTTTACACTTTTTTTGGCAATGCATCCTTTGGATGTTCTTCTGAAACTGGAATCTGTTTGCAGCGAAGTGGTCACCACAAATACACTTGGTTTGATGATATGCTGTCGAGAGGTATTCAAATACACAGGTCTTGACATGTTTTGACATTGCAGTTTTTATTGCTAATGTTTGGCATGTTTAGGCTATAGATATGATGCTCAATCAGCCTCGGGGGGGTCATGTATTTAATATTGATGGAGCTGGTTCAGATGGAAGGCCAACCCCTAGGTGTCCTTCTTTATCTTAAAATTGCAATCATGTTTGGGTAAATTTGACGTGGAGCAGAAATTATTCCATTTCTGTCCAGCTATTCCTTTAACTTGTATTTATTGTATTGATCTCTCTTTGTTTCTTTTGCTTTTATTTTGTATTACTCAATTGCTACGTTGACAATAAAATAATTGTTAGTAGATTGGGACGTCTAGCTGTTACGGGCGTGATTGGGAGATAAAAAAGAAGAAGATAAGTATGATAGTTGGAAAAACAACTCAGCTTCCCGCCCTAGGCAAGGAAGTGTCCGTCGGTTCCACCGAGCGCACAAGAAGAAGTATTCTCCAGAAGATTGATGATTTTATGCATTAATATTGCAGCTCTTTTATACTAGTCCAAAAAGTCTTGGTGGTCCAGTATTAGAGTAACCCTAATTTTATTACAATACTTTTATTAGCAAATTAACTAAAATATAATATTTCCACTTATAGGAAACTGCAACTTTTAATAACCTTAGGAAACTAACACCTAATACTTTAGGAAACTTACTTTAGAAAACTAATATTAACCTTAGGAAACTAACACCCAATACTTCAGGAAACTTACCTTAGGAAACTAATAATAATCATTAATAATGATAGTAATAATGAACAATGATAGTAATACTATAAGAAGCTCATTATTACTATCATTGTTCATCATCATTATTATTATTAGTTTCTTAAAGTAAGTTTCTTGAAGTATTGGGTGTTAGTTTCCTAAGGTTATTATTAGTTTCCTAAAGTATTAGGTGTTAGTTTCCTAAGGTTAATATTTGTTGCAGTTTCCTCTTAGTAGAGATATTCTAGTTTAGTTAATTTCCTAATAAAAGTATTGTAATAGAATTAGGGTTACTCTAATACTAGACCACCAAGACTCTTGGGACTAGTATAAATAGAGGTGCCATATTAATGAATAAAATCATCAATCTTCTGGAGAATAATTCCTCTTCTGCGCTCAGTGGAACCGACAGACACTTCCTTGCCTAGGGCGGGAAGCTAAGTTGTTTTTCCAACTATGATACTTATTGTTCTTTTTTATCTCCCAACCACGCCCGTAACACTAGCCTGTTCTCTTCGCCTACAAAAATGTGATTTCATCCAACATTTAAGATCTAGGATGGTTTAGTCTAAATATTTTTTATTTGTTGCGGTCTGGATCAATGTGATCTGATTCGAATGTTTCTCATCTTGTGTAGTTTTCTTGTTTGAAGATTAAAACAAGATTAAGTAAAAAAGATGAACAAAATAAGCGTGTTTGGTCAGTTCCTGTCTTAGTCACAACCCCAATGCTTTGTTTATTGATGTACTTGTTTTACTGGTCAGATTTGCTGCTTATGGTGCAACTAAACGTAGTGTGGCACACCTTACAAAATCCTTACAGGCATGTAGAATACTAGAATCCTTTCATTCCCGTTCTTCTTAGTGTTTGTTTTTGGTATATATCAATTTTGTTCCTGTAGCGGTCCAAAACATTGAAGGCACACCAAAACCATTCAATATGCATAGTTAAGAGACTATTTATTTACCCGAATGACAATACATGTAGTTTAAACATGTACACTTCTCAAATGCACAATTTCTGTTGACTAGTGCATTTGGGGTCAATTTACTTTTTCACCTTGCTTCAATTTGGGTGGAGGCTTGATCTTGTAACAGTGGCTTGCTTTGTGTTAGGGACCTGAACACTACCAAGAATTAGAGCCTTATTAAGTCATTTTAGTTTTGTTCAATAATAGGGTTTAGGCCCTACAACTTATTAGAAGTGGGCTGGCCCATTAGAAATAGAATAAATAAGGGTGAGTGGGGATTAGATGGGGGGGGGGGGCAGAACTTGGGATCAGGACTGGGATATTGGGAGTGAGAGACCACTCGAAGTGTCTCAAACCTTTCCTTTCGTGACTTTCTGTATTCCTTCACTAAATTTTCATTAATAAACTACTACTTTCTTCTTGGATTCTTCCGTTACTTATCATTGGTATCAAAGCCATTGACAAAAGCCTTACCTGCGCATGGTCTTGACCCGATCGAGAATGGAGCAACGTGTGGAAAATCTGGAAAACACCCTAGCGGAAGTGAGAACTGCCGTGAATGAACTGCTTGGCTTGCGTGAGACTGTGGCCGAATTGAAGAATATCATGTTACAGGGTGACCGCCATAAGAGAAGAGGACGATCAACCACAAACCGTCGTCGCCATACTTCAGCAAGCGTGAGCTCCTCTAGTTCTGAAGGTAAATCTCATGAAACTCACTCAGTTTCACGCAACCCTTATCAGAAGAGAATCAGCGACCGTGTATATACTGGAAGAAAGGTCGATTTACCACTTTTTAGTGGAGACGATGCTTATGGATGGCTGATTAGGGTTGAACGCTATTTCAAACTCAACCATGTGGCAGAAGAGGATAAAGTAGAAATAATCTTGATAGCCATGGCCGGAAAAGCTCTGAACTGGTACCAATGGTGGGATGAACAGACTGATGACCATTCTTGGGTTAACTTCAAAGATGCTTTGTTCCGGCGTTTTCAACCTGCCTTAGTGCAGAATCCGTTTGGTCCTATGCTCAGTATTAGGCAAACTGGTTCTGTAATGGAATACCGGGATCACTTTGAAATGGTTGTAGCTCCTCTCAAACTTGCTGACCAAGGGATGTTAAAAGGAGTGTTTCTCAATGGCCTTAAAAAAGAAATTAGCACGGAACTGAAGTTGCACCAGACCAGTGGGTTAACTGAACTGATGGACAAGGCTTTGTTGTTGGAGCAGAAGAATAAGGTGTGGACAGGGAAAAAAAATAAAGAAGAAGACAACATAGGTTGGAAGGAACATGGAGGAAAAATGGTTAGACCCTGGAACTGGGTATACGCAACAAAGGGAAGAACACCTGCGTTAAATCCGGAGAGAACACTTTCAGAGAACAAACTGGAGGAATCGCCAAAACCGAGTAAGACATGGGAAGGTGGCCAAAGGTTGACACAAGCAGACTTAGAAGAAAGAAGCAAGAAGGGCTTATGCTTCAAATGTGGAAACAAATGGGGCAAAGAGCATGTTTGTGGAATGAAACAAATGGGGCAAAGGGCTTATCAATTGATCTTGAGGGAAGAGCCAGAAGAAGAGGAGGGCACAGTAGATCAATTTTATGAGCGGGATGGAGCTGAAAACTTGCTGGAACCTAATGCAAAATCAGTCTCTTATCATCCACCTTGAGGACAAGGTGGAAGTTAAAGGGGGGAGTGATGTTAGGGACCTGAACACTATACCAAGAATTAGAGCCTTATTAAGTCATTTTAGTTTTGTTCAATAATAGGGTTTAGGCCCTACAACTTATTAGAAGTGGGCTGGCCCATTAGAAATAGAATAAATAAGGGTGAGTGGGGATTAGATGGGGGGGCAGAACTTGGGATCAGGACTGGGATATTGGGAGTGAGAGACCACTCGAAGAGTCTCAAACCTTTCCTTTCGTGACTCTCTGTATTCCTTCACTAAATTTTCATTAATAAACTACTACTTTCTTCTTGGATTCTTCCGTTACTTATCACTTTGTCATTTCTTTTTCTGGACATTAAACAAATGCAAGTACTGCTGGGGTTTGGATAATTTGAACTGTCATTGTCTTTGGTTTTTCATGATATTTAGCTAAATGTATCATATTTAGCTTGTTTGTAATATTTTTGGACAAGCTATTCGAAACAATAACAACATCTAAGCCTTAGCCCCAAAAGAATTTGAGGTCAACTAACATGAATCAATAAGTGAAATCAGAGCTAAAAAAGTTAAATAGATAAAATTATTAGATAATATAAATGATGAGATAAAAATACCCCCCTGGGCATTTGGGGTCAACTAGAACTCCGCCTTCTATTCTTATCACCACCTCGACCCTCACCATGTCCTCGCATATTTGACACCATCCCCAGACATTGGGGTGACGCGCCGCTTCTAGGCTATAACCTTTCAACCATAGAATACTTATCACTACTCTTAGGCCTATGAAGTGTAGCGGAGGACTGGAGAGAAGAAATTGTGACATATTTGTTGTTTGTAGATTATTTAGTCATTTTCTTTTATAAAGACTTGTGTTCTCAAAATTCATCCTTTTTTGATAAAGGCTCTTCAGCTCTTGGATCATAATGGGGGTTTGGGAGGAAAAGTCACATCCACCCATTCATTGTAGTTACAAATATGTTTTAACACAAGAAAGTTATTGAATCTGTGTAGGCAGAATTGGAGATGCAAGATGTAAGAAAAGTTGTAGTCCACAACCTCTCAGTACGTCTCGCTGTATGCTATATATCATGAAATGAGGACATGACCAAGCATATATCTCAACTTATCAGTGTGTCATGATATTTTCAATGTAAAACTTTGTCACTGTGCATGCATTTATAGTCTTTAGATGAATTTGTACAATTAATCGAAACCAACCACAATGCAGTTGCGGTTAAGGTGATGATGATGATAATGTATAGAATGATTCTGTTGTACAAAACTACAAAAATGGCATTACAGATCTGTGCTTCACCTGAAAATGTTGTGATCTTTTTGAATTTTTAAAATTTGGTTTGATCTAATCCGAATGTCTCTAGTGACTAGTCTAGTGAAGAGGATGATAATGAATAGAAAGATACTGTTGTACAAATCGGCATTACAGATCTGTGCTTCACCTGAAAAATGTTGTGATCTTTTTGAATATTTAAAATCTGGTCTAGTATAACCTGAATGTCTCTGGTCTACTCATTACAATAAGATCAGATAAAAACAAGCTATGATAAAAAATAAGGATAATGTTAAGGGCAGACGTACAAGATCTCGGCCAAGGATGAGAACGAGAGACTGGCAGGGAACGAGAACTTAGAGAATTCTGTAATTTGGAATCTATGATGAACGTATTAATTGGAAGAATTAAAAGAAAGGGTTCCGTGGAATTAATCTGATCTTGGAATACTAGTATTCCAGAGATCCAAGAATTAATTCTCCAAAGCTGTTTATTGAATAATACTAATGAGCCTTGTATAGTTATTACAAGAGTCCTAATTCTAAAAGGAAATAAATGCTAATTAAGAAGTTGGCTAAAGCATTGTAAACTGAGTAATAAGAATTAAAGATGCAATGAAATCACACTTCATTATCATTAGGTATGGCCAGTATAAATACATACAAGCTAGGGAATACAAAAAGGAAACTAAATCTGTCAGATTTACCTAGAATATTTAGTCTATCGCAGAGAATATATTAGCTACCATATATATACATAGAATATATTGACTATTAAATATGTATATTCTAACACTCCCCCTCAAGCTGGAACATAGATATTAATCATGCCCAGCTTGGTACAGATGAAATTGATACGTGTCCCCGGTAGAGCCTTGGTGAACACATCTGCCAGTTGGTTTCATGTTTTGATGTGTGAAGTGCAAATTGTACCATCTTCTACCTTTTCTCGAGTAAAGTGACAATCAACTTCGATGTGTTTTGTTCTTTCATGAAAAACATGATTATTTGCTATATGGATAGCCGCTTGATTATCACACCATAATCTCATGGGTTCTGTTTGAGTAAATCCAGGTTCACCAAGCAAATGCTGAAGCCAAACCAGCTCACATGTAGTCTGTGCCATAGCTCGATATTCAGATTCTGCACTTGATCTAGAAACAACATTTTGCTTCTTACTTTTCCAAGATACAAGGTTTCCTCCAACAAAGATACAGTAACCAGTGGTGGAATGTCGGTCATTAGGGTTTCCAGCATAATCCGCATCAGTAAACCCTTCAATAACATGATGTCCGTGGTTTTGATATAGTATCCCACGCCCTGGAGCCCCCTTCAAGTATCTTAGGATATGAGTAACTGCATCCCAGTGTGATGTTCGTGGAGTGGATAGAAACTGACTGACCAAACTAACCAGGAAAGCAATATCAGGCCGGGTGATAGTCAAATAATTCAGTTTCCCAACAATCCTTCGGTATACCTCAGGATTTTCCAGCAAGTCGCCTTCATCAGCTGTTAACTTTACATTTGGGATCATCGGAGCATCACACGGCTTTGCCTCAACCAAACCTGCATCATTTAGCACATCTAGGCAGTATTTTCTTTGAGACAAGTAAATTCCCTTGTTACTACGTGAGACTTCTATCCCTAAGAAGTACTTCAAGGACCCAAGATCTTTGGTCTGAAAGCAAGTAGAAAGGAAAGCTTTCAGTTTCAAAATACGACTCGCATCACTGCCAGTGATCACGATGTCATCAACATACACAACTAATAGAATGCATCCAGAATTTGAGGTAGAGAAGAAAACTGAGTGATCATAGGCACTCCTGCGTAGGCCAAATTTAAATATTGCAGCACTGAAACGGCCAAACCAAGCTCGTGGGGATTGTTTCAGACCATACAACGATTTCCTTAATTTACATACCTTTCCAGACTCTCCCTGAGCAAGAAACCCTGGTGGTTGCTCCATGTACACTTCCTCGCTAAGGTCAGCATTCAAAAAGGCATTTTTAATATCAAGTTGATGGAGTGTCCAATTGTAAGTAGCAGCCAAAGAGATAAACAATCGAATGGATGTAAGTTTGGCAACAGGAGAGAAGGTGTCAAAGTAATCTATACCATATGCTTGAGCATAACCCTTAGCTACTAACCGTGCCTTTAAACGAGCAACCGAACCATCAGGATTCATTTTGACGGTGAACACCCATTTACACCCAATAGCTTTCTTATCGGGTGGAAGATATACAAGGTCCCATGTGTGGTTCTGGTCGAGAGCCATTATCTCCTCTCGCATTGCCTCTTGCCAACCAGGATGAGTCAAGGCCTCAGAAACAGTTGAAGGAACAACAATAGAATCTAAAGAAGTAATAAAGCTCTTGGAAGAAGATGACAATGTATTATAAGTAACAAAGGAAGAAACAGGATAAGTACAAGTACGAGTACCTTTTCGGAGGGCGATTGGGAGATCAAGGTCGGAGGGAGCAGAATCTGGAGGCGAAGCAGAAGATGGCAGCGGTACACTGGTAGCCATAGTAGGTGCCGTAGTCACATGGCGCACACGACGAGAGTAAACTTTAAGGGGAGGAGGTGGAGGAGGTGGAGGAGGAAGGAAAGTTGATGGAGAAGTCTGATTGGGGGGGACAGATTCTAGCTGGCTGGTGGTATAGACTAGAAACTCATCATTAGAGAGTTCCAAAGAAGATGATGAAGATGAACTATGCTGAAAGAAGGGTGTTTCTTCAAAAAATGTGACATCTGGAGAGATAATATACCGTCCCAATGAAGGAGAATAACATCGATATCCTTTTTGTAACCGGGAATAACCCAGAAAAACACACTTGATTGATTTAGGATCAAGTTTTGAGACCTGGGAACGCATATCCTGGACAAAGCATGTGCAACCAAACACACGAGGCACAAGAGAGAACAAGGACTGAGAGGGGAATAAAACGGAGTACGGAATAAGAACAGAGGAAGGCATACGATTGATAAGGTAACACGCAGTGGAAACAGCGTCTACCCAAAATGGTTTAGGAACCCCCATGTGAAATATTAAGGCTCGAGCTACTTCTAGTAGGTGACGATTCTTTCGTTCAGCTACACCATTTTGTTGAGGTGTATAGGGACAAGAAGTGTGGTGTAAAATCCCATGGCGAGATAAGTAAGTCTGAAAAGTGCTAGATAGATAGTCTTTAGCATTATCACTTCTCAGAATGCGTATATTCTTATTAAATTGAGTTTGAATTTCAGCATGAAAGGTACAAAATGCAGTAAACACATCTGATCGGGATTTCAAAGGATAAAGCCAAGTAACCCGTGAAAAATCATCCACAAATGTAACAAAATAACGATGACCAAGTTTGGAAACGACAGGACAAGGACCCCACACATCAGTGTGAACTAAATCAAAACTAGACTCAACACTTTTATTTATTCGAGGAGGGAAATTTGTTCTATGATGCTTAGCAAACTGACATGCTTCACACTCCAAAACAGACTCCCGTGATAGACTAGGACACATTTTTTGTAGTACAGAAAGAGACGGATGACCAAATTGACAGTGAACTTTCAACAGAGACGAACTTGTGCATGCAACTGATCTCGGCACCAAGGATTCAAAAACATATAAGCCATTAACCAGTCTACCTTTACCAATAATCTGCTTCGTCCCAAGATCCTGAAAAAGACAATGAGTGGGAAAGAAAATAACACAGCAGTTTAGGGCTTTAGTAATCTGACTGACTGAGATTAAATTAAACGGAAATTGAGATAAATATAGAACAGAAGATAGAGAAAGATTTGGAGAAAGAGTTGTTGTTCCAAGGCCATTGACAGATGCGGTTGATCCATTTGCTAAAGTAACATGAGACTGGTTAGCAGAAGAGGTAAATGAATCCAAAATACTTTCATTACCAGTCATATGGTCCGTTGCGCCAGAATCGATCACCCAATTGCGTGATGATGTAGAGAGGCATGCAGCTGGATTACCTGTATCAACTTGTGTGGTGGCAGATGAGGCTGTGAGAGAAAGTTGTTGTAGCCGAGCATATTCATCGACTGAGATAGTAACAGTGGAAGGAGTTGGTAGGATACCATCCTGGATAACCGTATTAGCAACACGCCTGGGAGGAAACTGTCCAGAAGTCTGTGGTGGACGACCATGTAATTTCCAGCAATTCTTCTTCACATGACCCTCAGCTTCACAGTGATAACATGTGCGAGAAGAATTACGAGTCCCTTCAGTAGTGACTGAATTGGTCCTTTTACCATGGCTCACATCACTGACTAAGGCAGCAGTATCAATTGAGTTCATCATTCTGGATTCTCCATCTTTGCACACTGGAAGGAGACGTCCATAGAGGTCAGAAAAACTAGGAAGGGTCCCACCAGACAGTATTTGACTCCTTGATACCTCATATTGTGGACCAAGCCCAGCCAAAACACCATGAACAAATGTTCGCTCCTCTTGTTCTTGCATACTCTTAACATCAGCAGTAATAGGGAATCGGGACCGCTTTTCCTCAAAAATCTGTTTACATTCATTATAGTATTGAAACAACGTCTGATCCCTCATCTCCGGTCTATAGTAGTGCACCAGTAATTGATGAACATAAGAGAGATCTATGTAGTAATGATACTATCAATAGAAGGATCTCCGGTCTATAGTAGTGCATACATAGACTCCAAGTATTCCCACATTTCTTTGACAGTATCACAATGAGTAATGATACTATCAATAGAAGGATCCAGGGTATTCTGAATTTGATTGAACAACCTAT